CATCAGCTGTGCCATTTTCCCATCTTGTGAGTGCAGAAATTGCTTGGCCTGATGTGTGGCTAAGCTGACAGCAGCACAAGCTTCGTCCACCAAATCGCAGAGATTAATGGTGCAGTCTCTAATCGCGCATTCAACAACTTTGATGACGAAATACCTCGCAAACCGCCCACGAGAATGCGTAGCAATGTCTTGCAGGACTGGGTATTGATTCACAGCTTTCGACCAGCCTTGTTGCTCTTGATCATTGTGTAACATCAACTGATACCGAGGAAATCGAGGAACAAGCGACATCCATTTGTGCGGGGGTTTGTAGCTCCCTCCATACTGTTCAACCAGGTTGGTAATCTTCGAGTCTGTACCCATTATGACAACCACCAAACCACAGACACGAAAGACGTTGCGTTGAAAGGCGGCCTTCTGCTTGCCCCCAGTGTTTTTGCGTCCGTTGGGAGTCATCTCATCAAGAACGAAGAACGGTAATTTTTTCTGCTCTGCCTTCGTCTTACGAAGCACATCGCAAACACTGTCCAGGTTGCGTTTTTCCACTTTCAAGATTGTGTGGTCACCAAAACGAATCATTCGCGACGAATTTTAATGCTCATCGGAGCTGCAATATTCAAGCAGTTCGATAATAAATCCGTACGTCCACAACAGGTCCGTCTGATATAAATTCGACCTGGAGTCTAAGATCACCTTCTCACTCTTCTTTTTTGGACTATCTTTCTTCACCATTTTACGAAACGCGTCAGATATCGAAGAAAAATTTGCGTAGAGGTTCTGGGAGTGTTTTGCAGAATGAGAGGCAAGTCAGTAAAAATACGGTCGTCGGCCCTCGGCCCTGTGATTTTCCCATACCAGACGATCCTTCGACACAAATGAAGGGAAGCGGGGCTATTTCTTCGTTGTACAGTTCATCGATTTTGTTGAAAATGTTCGCACAATAATCTCGGCAGCTGTCTTGGATAAGACGTCCACGTTGTTGATAGCACGTCAACTCTCGCCAATTTTCCACTGAGCTTCGGACTTCTTTAATTATGACGGAGATTTCAGTCGGTTCAGCTACTGGGATTGTCATTGAAGATGCAGTTCCTCGGATTGCAGTTAGTGCATCTGCCTTTTCGGTCGGGACAACAACCAACACGTGGATTTGCTTCGTTTTCGGTTCTGGCATACTCATAAGAACATCATTCAATCCAAATTCTCCATCGAGTTGATTGTCTTCATGAACCAAAGCTTCAATTATCGTAGTCTTTTTCTCCATTTTTAAGTTTCTTGACGTCTTCCGTGCCAGACTCCAGCCACGATTCGCCCTTCTTCGCGAGATATAGCTCTAATTTGCTGGCAGCAAAGCCGAATTCCTGCTTCTTCTTGATGGCATCCTTTAAGTGGCCCACCGACTGGCTAGTGTCGATGTCAACAGAGAAAGCATTTCCTTTCTCACCAGCGATTGCGCAGAAAAGCGTCACCATGTTCCCACTTGCTGATTTTTTCTCAACTGTGG